TACGAAACAAACTAGTTGTTCCGCAATCTGTGATCAAGTACCTGATCTCCAAATTCAATAACCAATACATCATGCGAAATTACTATGAAACGTGCCTAAACAGTGCTAATGATGCCATTGAAATCGTGTACTGTGATTTGATTGATGAAATTGTGGAAGCAACCAGCACTGATGGAATGGATAAAAAGACCCTAGAAAGAATTGTCTCAAAGAAAACATCCAACCTGATTCTGAGCAATTTGTACTCATTTGAGAACAAGAATGAGTACATTTTCAGGAAGAAGAGGGAACTTGTCATAAAAGAGGAGACATTGTTCGTCTATTTGCTACTCAAAAACATCAAAGAGTACTCTAAGGCAGATAAGGAGCAGTTTATGACTGAATTGGAGCAGAGGACTGAGAAAGAGGAAATCAGGGAAATATTGGAGAAAATCAGGAAGAATTACAGTAGAGGAGGTAGAAAGGAAATTGAAATTGACGTGTTACTATAAAACACCCATGGCAATAAATTCTAAGGAAAAAAGAGATGTCTACTACTATTTGTCGAAAAGAGAGGGCTATAGGGCCAGATCAGTCTACAAACTTAAGCAAATTGACGAGAAATATGGAATATTCACCAATCAGAATCAGACTATACTGGATCTGTGTGCTGCTCCAGGAAGCTGATCTCAATACGTGGCACAGATAGAAACAGTTAGGAGAATAATTGCAGTTGACTTGCAGGAGATGGAGCCAATTTCAGGCGTAGAAATCCACAAATGTGACATAACATCTGATGAATTCATTACCAAAATGAAGGAGTGTGAAATAGAGACAGTCATATGCGATGGTGCACCAGATGTAACTGGATACTACGAAATAGATCTCCATGCACAAATTGGGCTTCTGATTTCAGCTCTAACAATTGCAGTATCAGTCCATGGGAATTCAACCAGCACATTTGTATCAAAAATATTCAAGGGAAACCTGACAAAATACGTCACAAATCATTTCAGAAAATACTACAAGAGAGTTCTACTCACCAAACCACGAGCAAGTAGAGCAGAGAGCGATGAGGCATTCGTAATCTGCACTGATCTATACAATTGTGATATCACAAATGTGAGTGAAATTGATTACAGCCTGAACTTGGAAAATGAGCCATTGGAAGTCTGTGGATACGATAATGAATACTTTATTGAGGAGTACAACCCTAAATAACTGATCAATATTGCTGTTTTACAAGTATTTCTTATCGTGCAAATACTTCCTCATCAGTGATATCTGCACGATGTTGAATACCGTGTATCCAACCAGACTCACAAATGAGAGAAATACGACCACCACAAACATCCTCTTGTGCTCCTTCTCGAGCTGAGACGTCTTTCGTGATGCGTTCTTTGTTGTTTCAATCACGTCCTGTAATTTTTGCACCAGCCTATTCAATGCATAAACAGCTGGTTCAATCTGCTTCTTCAAAGAGACAGTCGCGTCAAATGTGTTCAACTTTGACTCGAATTTCATGTAAATTCTGTTTTTGGCTGGATCTGAGTCCATTGACCCGTGATACGGCGTGATCTTCACGGCCACGTCCTCGATGGCCTTGTTGCTGAAGCTGAAGTGCTTCTCGTTTGCATCCTCGATGTCCTCTCCAAAGAACTTCTTCTCGTGGTTATCAGTGACGATGTCCACCTTGAACTTCGCCTGATTGTTTGGGTAGAGGCGGAATGCGCCTGTTGAGATGTTCTCAGCTGCCAGTCTGAAATTCACCACCAGTGGCTCATAGTCCTTGAACAAGAATACCTCGCAAAACACCCTTGAAATCAGCAAACAAAACATGGGCATTTATCACCCAAACATAAAAGAGATCATTCATTCAAATATAAAAGAGGATCTTCTCCTTCAGAAGTCTGATTCGAGCCACAGCCCACTCCTTGTCGGTGAGCCAGGTCTCCTTCGATGCATCCAGCTCGTTGAAGACGACTCCAGAGACAAGCAGATCAAATGGACTGATCTTGGTTGAATCAGTCTCATAGTTCGTATTCAAGTCAATGATCCTGGTGTTTCCTTCAATCTTCTTCTGTTTCCCCAGGTAAATATATTCTACCATTTTGTCAAAATCATTATCATTATTAACGTATTCAAAATACTCCTTGGAATTCGGACACTTGTGATCTTTCTCAATGTGTTTGATGATTTTGTCTTCCGTGTCCTCGTAGAAGCAGCATCTTTGGCAACACCACTTGTTGGCGTAGTTGATTGTTTTGAGACGGCTGAACTCATCAGCAACATCCTCATTATCAGCCATACTTGTATCATCAAGCCACTGGTAGCATTTGGAATCAGTGAAACTCTCTATCACGGTGAATTCTTCAATGAAAACGAACTGTTTGGATTCACCTGCGTATTTTATGGCTAAGTTTGGTTCTCGTAATTTGATAGCAGCGAGTAGGCCAAATGAGTTCAGTTGAATGGCTCGGAATTGGAGTGTGTTTAGGAAGAGATCGACAAGTTGGACGACTTGGTCCTTGTTGAAGAAGTCGCTGATGGCCAGGGAAATGGACGAGTTGCATGGTTTGAGAAATTGCCTGATTTTGGTGGAGAGGAGTGCTTCGATTGAGCGGAAGTCAGAAGACTCAAATTCAATGGTTTGTTCGGTGTAGAGGCTGGATATCTGTTCCTCCGTTACCACAGGCATTTCCTTGGTTTTTGAGTAGAGAATGAGTTTGGTTTCAAACAGAATTCCATAGACTTTCTCAAACGAGTATGTGGGGTACTTGTGGTTGACATTGACTAAGTAGGAGATCTCCTTCTTGTCAAAGAAGCTGGTAATGTTCTTGTTTGGTGTTGTTATTGGCTCAATTACAAGTGTTTTTGTTTTTTCAGCCATCTGGGATATTTTGTTTGTATTTAAGCTTAAAAAGCATAAAAAGAACCCAAATGCATGAATAATGTTATTTCAGATGATGAGTCTGCTGATGTGTCATGACAAGAAGATCAGTCTGAGCATCTCCTGGGACAATCCCATGCTATTGATAAAGGCAGACAACGCATCTGTGCTTCCTAATTTCAGTATGGAGCAACAAGAATTCATGAGTGAAAATCCATTGAAAGCTGAGAATTTAACCAAAGAAGAACACAGTTCTATTCTGGCAGGTTATCTTGAAGGTAAGAAACACAAGAAAATCAGAGAAAGTGTTTTTTATGGGAACACATCAACCTTATTTGCTAACGACAAATGGCTGGATGTAAATGCTTGTAATCACAATCCTGAAGATCAGGAAGAGGCCAGCAAACGTTGCAATCTTCTTCAGTGTCAGGTTAAACCAGATCAATGCTACTGTCTCAATTTGATTGTGATCAACAAGAATGTGCCTCCCATTTATGTCATCATTGAAATTGTAACATACCCTGCATTGGAAAAAGCCACAATGCAAAAAGACAGTTACGAATTCAATTTGGTCTCTACTTGTGAAATAATTCGATTGAACCTGAATGGAAAGAATGTAGAGAAATCAGAATTTGAAACTAAAACAGGTAGAAAACCGTCAACTATTTCCAAATCCATTGAATTCAACAGCAATTTGGACATTCATCAACAGAATGAAATCGAACAAGATGACGTATTCAACAATCCCATTGAACTCGAAGCACATGAAGCTGCCCTGTGCATCATAGTCTTCAAATTGGCACTGATTCCCACATTCTTAATGTACTTGGCTGTATTTCTACTGAAATATATCGGTCTAGTATCCGATCAAACAGTTTACTACGCCCAAGTAGTTCTGTTATTTGCAGTGGTGATTCTAATTGGAATGATATGTGGCCTGTGTATTGATACTGTCAATCTCTAGTAATTCATCATTTTATTGCTAAACACATCCACCAGTCTGCTGTGGCATCACGTAGATGATATCACCATCCCCAATTTCATACGATTTCAGCGTATAATCATCATTTAGAAACTGGTTCTTGAACACGAGCCTGTAGTTGCTCGCCTCCACATTGTTTGACTTGCAATACGCCTCAAGAACCTTCTTCACTTTGTTGGATGGCTTGCTGCTCATCTTTATGTATTGGCCATTTGGTGACTCGATTCTGATGCCAATTCTGGCCTCTTTCATCCCAGCACTTTTCTCATTCTCATTGCTTATCATAATGGGTGGGAAATTTTACACAATTCGCCCCGAATGACCAAATGCAACAAAAATGACAAAAAGTACCAAACCAAACCACCAATTGATCTACCAGGTTGTTTCGTGATGGAATTGGAGTTTGCAGAACATGAGGATACTACAGCACATTCTGATGCATTAGATGGTGATTTCAAGTGCATCTACGATGATCCAATGAACTCCATAAATGTCCTTGACGAACTGAACCAAATTGGTCAAGACAAATCAATCAACATGGCCAAGGAGGAGCAGATCATCGACAAAGGCTACTTCGCAAAGAGACACGAGAGATCAGAGGTCTTCATGCGATACGAACAGGCTGAGAGACTCAAGAACGTATTCAACATCAAGGAATTCCTGGAAGAGAGCTTTAACACGGTGTTGGAAGAAGACGATGACGTGGTTGAGTCGTATCCACTGGTTGCGTCTGACATGGATTCATTTGTGATGATTGCTGGTGAGAATGTGAATTTCACATCCTACGAAAGCACAAGTGGCACAAGCGTAGTGAATCGCATCTCAGTTGCTGGTCGCCCTTACAACCTGACTATGCAGAATGTAGACAAATACATCTGCATCAACATCAAGAATGGACAAGCCTACTACTCAACAATGAATAGCATTCATAAACTAAGCAAACCGTGATTTCCACCAAAATATTTCACCCATGCCAAAAATACCAAGCAACTACCACAGTAAAGCAACCAGGGCAAAGGAGTGCCAACACGATGCGACTGAGAGACAATATGACGATGGAGACTACTACAACGAGTGTAGGCTGGAGAAGGAGTATGTTAGAGCATTGAATGCAACCAAAATGGACAAAATGATGAGCAAACCACTTGTTGGATCACACATGCTCCACAACGAGGGAATTGTCAAAATGGAACGAAGCAGAAGCAAATTCATCACTGCTTCCTATTCCAATGAAATCATTGTTTGGGATCTGGTGAAGAAAGAGGCATTGATCAAATTGGAATATTTGAATCAAATTAATTCAGTTGGAATCTACGAAAATAAGGCAGTGGTAACACAGGATAGAAGTATCCTGTTCACTGAAATGAACAAGACCAATTCCAACGACTACCAGTCCAATTTGTACAATATCAGTACAGAAGTGCTAGAAAAGCCAAGATTTGAATTCAGCAAAAAAGTCACCAACAAATTCAGTAGCAAAATTGACCAAAAACAAACCGTAAATCACGTTGATATTGGAGAGAGTAAAATGGCAGTTGGAACCACCCACAGTTCCATCGTATGCGACCTGATCAAAGGAATCAACCTCTACGAGAAACCAGGCCAATGCAATCAAATCCAATTCAACCATAGCATAGGAGGCATTCTTGGAATAGTTGGAGATGGTGCTGTACGAATAGAAGACACCCGAGCCAATAGCACCGTTTATTCTGGAAAGATGCCTGTAAATTGCATCAAATTCAATAACAACAAATTGATTTGTGGTGGTGATAAATTGACTGTTTTTGATATGCGAGAAATGGGAAGAGCTCTAAGAGAATTCAAAACAAGTGGCCCAATTCTAAGCGTGGATTCAACTGGTACCAGAACATCTTGTGGTACCGCTGATTGCGTCATATTCAACTTCGTAGATGAGAAACTTGCAGATGTCTACTACAACCAGAGAATGGGCCTGATTCACGGTCTCAGATACTCAGGTTGTGGTAACTACCTGGTGAGTGGATCAGATGATGGAAGTGTACGCGTGTGGAAGGCAGATGCAAACCAAAGGACGCTGAAAACGGGACGAGAGAGACGAAGCAGTGACGGAAACAGGGCACTTCAAGAGAAATACGGAAGTGTGGCCGAAATAGCACGAATCAGAAGACACAAATTCACCCCTAAGGAAATCAAGAGGAAGATGAACAGTAAATGATTTATTTCTGCCTTAATAATGGCTGGCCCAAGAGTAGTCTGAATTCAGTTGTCTTACGACCCCCTGCATTCCACTGCTGTGAATGGGATGTCCGCCTCTTCCAGCCGCATTGCGTTGTTTTCTATTGAGGCAGACAGTGGCACTGGCCACATGGCATTGCGCCTGCTTTCGCATCCTCCCGTCTCAGACCTTCCTAGGAGCAGCTGCTCCTCACAGGGGCTTTGGGCCAGAAGGGCTAAAACTGTCTTCTTTTCCCCTCATTGACAAACAAACACATTTCAGCAAACACGCCCTATGTTTCAGGAGGTGGAAATTATTGGGGTGCATTCAGACGCAGAAAGTGAGACAAAAGCAGGGATTCTGGCCAGGGACGAGACAGGGGAGGAAGTGGTGCTCTCGCTACGGGGGATACGCATCCAGGATGAGACTGGCTTCACAGAATACGTCAGCAGGCATCTCAAGGGGAGGGAAGTGCAATTTGAGGCAGTGGAAGAGGAGAATGTGCCAAACAGAAGCGTAGTCTGTCTCAATGGATTCGTATTCAGCAGTGGCCTGAACATTAATGTGGAACTAATCAAATCAAAAATAGCAGTGGTGAAAATGAAGGAGGCAATGGAGTATGCTGATTATTTTGAGGATGTGATAAAGGAAGACTGACCACACCAATTTCAAATAGGTTGATTGCACTCATTTACTCTTTATTTTTAAATATGTTAGTGACTGTTTGAGTGAAGAATGCGTAGTCCGGAATATTAAAATATTGATCACCATCCACTTGCATAAACAACTCGTTTGCCTTGTTTGCAATCTCATGTGCTCCCTCTTTCAATCCCAGGCACGCGTACGATTTTATCGTCAACGTGATGTTCCATACGATGAGTTTTCTGGCTTTTATGAAGTTTGGTTTTCTATTTCCCAGCATTCTTTTGCCTAATACACCCAGGATGTCGTCTTTAGCCCTTTTCATTGCATTCATGAATGGATAATCTGCCATACAGTGATTCATGAATGTTGGTGGAACAATTATTCTAATGGTTTCTTCTGCTATTTCGTAGAATGGCAGTGGAAAGTTCTCGATGGAGCCACCAAAAACATCCTCAATTGACCTCCTTTTGTTGTACAATGTGCTCAACTTATCAGTTTCCACAAATTTGCAGATTGACTCAATTCGTTTCTTGTACAACTTCATAATCACAACCTGAGTATCTGGACTAAGGTTGATCTTGTTCAAGTTGACAAACCTCAGAAAGATGGCAATTGCGTCTAAGTGCACTTTCATCACATTATCAATATTATCACTATCTATTGCCACAAGCCATTTTTTTGTAATTAATTTGTTGACGTACTGAATATATTGTGCACCTTCGAATTCTGTACAGTGTTTTGTATCAATTGGTTCCATGACTAGCCCACTGCTTGTTGATTCCTCCTCTTTTTCTCTTGGTTCCGAAATTCTCTCGTATTCTGGTGCTTTAAACACTGGTTTTGGTTCCAGGTGCTGTGGTAGATTTGGTATTTTGTATCCTGGTGCTACATTTGTGCCTTGTGGATGATAACTAATTGCATTCTGATGGATTTGGTAACGAATTTGTGGGTTTGGTGGTGCACCTACGGCTGGATTCGGCCTATTTTGGGCTTCACGCATCTTTTCCATTTCAATGACGTATCGTTGCATCATATTCTGTTTCTCCTTCTCCTGGTATTCCAACAGCTTCCGAATGTACTCTTGTGCTGCATTCTCCTGTTGAGCAAGAGTGTTATTGAAGTTTTCTTGCAGCTTCTCAACTTCATCCGCATCTTGTTTCTGTTTCTTCATCCTTTGCTCGTACTTCTTGCCTATTTCCACTTGCGCCTCTTTTAGTTGAGCAACCTCGGCATCTTTTTGTGCCTTATACTTGGCAAGCTGATCTTCTCGTTGCTTACTGAATTGATTGAATTGGTCTATCAGCTCTTGTTGCTTTGCTTCAGCATTCCTACGTTCAGTGGCCTCTCTTGTATTAAGCAAACGAGCATTGTGAGCGGCTATCTCCTCCATTTTGGCTTTCATATCGTTATTGTCTTTTTCTGCCTTTGCATTATATTCATCCATTTTCTCCTTGTACTTTTCATTTAACGCATCAACGGCCTTCTTATACTTTGTCTCAAGCAGATCTCTCTCTTTTTTAGCTGCCTTCTTATCCTTCTTTGCCTTCAATGACTTAGATGGGTCATCTGTTGGTCTTGTTTCGGTTTCTGATTTTTTTGATCTTGATTTTGGTTTTACTTCCTTATCATCTGATTTATTCTTATTTTGATGAATGAAGTATCCAAATGCACCACCAGAAATAATCAGTAGCAGAATTATAATCAGAATAATCAGTAGCGTGTTATTGGAATCTCTGTGAACTTTCATAGGAGGGCGAATATGGTGATTTAATAAAGGATGAAGATGATCAATTTTAATCAGGGTGTATAAAATAAAGGGGTAGTATTAACGTAGTTTTCAGGTAGTGCTTTATACAGCATAATATTGTCTTAAAACATGATAAGAAGACATATTTAATTAACTATTTCACCTATAACCTAATAACTTATTACGAATAATTAGATTCGTTTCTAACAACAAAACAGTTTTCTAACATATTTAAACTAACATTTTGATAAATACTGAATTCACCCGTAATATTCAATCAATCTCTTTTATCACATATATTTCTGTATAACAGATCCAAAGAGATCACTGATGAGAATGCATCAGAAATGCATTCTCAACGCCCTTGTTTGATGGATGCTCACTATGTTGTTGTATCACTCTTCTTTCTGTTTCAGGTTCTTGAGACTGCTATCATGGATGCATTGGAACTGTTTCTAGGCAACGAAGCTGTCTACATTGAACACAACTTCCCTGACATCCTGAAACTAAATTACAAAGACTACAAAAACAGCAAATCAAAGTATCCCCTTGCTGCACTATCAGGAGTCATCTGCACCTGGCCACTTCTCATTCCACTCCTCATTAAAATTGGACTACTTTTAGCGTGCAGCAAGGATAAGAAACAGAAAAGCAACAGATTCAGGTTAGTGCACCTGTTTCTGGCTATTGATATAGCAGTTGCTAATTTAGCTGTTTTACTGACCTACAATACCATGAAACACACCATATATCGCAACCACATCTATTTCTATTATATACACATAGTAGCAGAACTCATATCACTAGGTTACGTTCTAATTCTGACAATTTGCTAGAATCAATCACATTCTGATAAACCATTTATATTTTTATCCCTATGTTAAGACTATCATCCATAAAGATCCATAATTTCAAGAGTTATCTAGGAACACACGAGGTTACAGGTTTATCGGACACAATTACAGCAATTGTAGGTCCAAATGGATGTGGTAAGTCAAACATAATAGATGCAATCATATTTGTGCTAGGATACAATGCTAAGAAAATGAGGCATAATACTCTGAGAGACCTAATTTATAAAGGAATGGATAGTGCATGGGTTGAATTGATATTGAACAGAAATGACACAATGATCACGTTGTGCAGGAAGATAGGCAAGAATGGAAGTAGTAAATACCATGTAGATGGAATTATAAAGGATGATGTTGAGGTATCAGGAGAGGTACAGAGCAAGCAATACAATGAAATACTGAAGGAATTGGGAATAAACACGACGTACAGCAAGTTTCTGATATTACAAGGAGAGATAGAATCGATAGCACTGATGAATCAGATGGAGTTACTAAACTACATTGAGGACTCAATAGGAACAGGTTGTTACAGGGATGAAATAGAAGAACAAGAGAAGGAAGTGCAGAGGTTGAATGAGATGGTACAGAATAAGATGGAGGAGAATGCGTTTATCACAAACGAATACGAATTCATCAAAAAGCAGGTGATATCAAATTGCATTCAGGTGAAGGATGAGGAGAAATCAGTAGAAAAAGAGAAGAAAGAAATGGAGAAGAAAAAGAAGAAGATTGGTGACAGAATCAATAAAAACAACAGTGCAATTTCAGGAATTGAGACTGAATTGGATAAATTGACCAGAGATATTGAAGATAGAAAGAAAGAGATGAAGAAGGCAATAAAAGAGAAGAAGTTGGTAGAAGTAGAACAAGAATATAGATCAGTAAAAGATGAATTGAAAAGGGAGGAGAGTAGAAACAGGAATAAGAATGATAAAATGAGAGAAATTCAGGCAAAAATAGACGAAATAGACGAAATAGAAAGAAATAAAGAGACTTTGAGAACTATAACAAGAGAAAGAGATGAAAACAAGACAAAGTTGAATATGCAGAAGAAAACACCAATTGAAACAAGATATTTGGAAGAGAAACTGGAACAATTAACAAGAGGAATTGAGGAAGAAAATAGGATAGAAACCAAGAAAGAAATATACAGACAGAGGATACAAGAGAATACAGAATACATTGACAAAGCAAGAAAAGTCGAAAGAAACAAGAATGAACTGAAAATTGAAATTGATCAGATTAAAAGAGACCTGAAAGCAACAGCGAATGAACTACAAAAAAGAAGGCGATATAATAATGAAAATAGCAAAGTTGACTATTTGTATAGGAAGCAGAGAGATGTTATACATGCAATAAAACACCTTGATGGATTTGTAGGGCAATTCAGGGAGTTATTAGAAGTAGAAGAAGGCTATGAAACAGCCGTAGAAGCAGCATCAAACCAGTTGAATTCAATTGTGGTAAAAACAACCAGTACAGCAGAAGAAGCAATTAGAATAATACTGTCATCCAATATGATTAGAACAACATTCCTGGTATTAGATAAGTTCAATAATACGAATATTGATCAACTGAATAAGTTATCAATAGTTCATAAAATCAAGACAAACAAAATGTATAGAAATATATTGCATAAAACACTAGGAAACACGTTGGTAGCTGATGATTTAGAACAAGGCAGAAGACTTGCATTTGGTAGCAAAAGAGAGCGAGTTGTAACAAAAGACGGGAAAGTGTTGGAGAAAAGTGGAATAATGAGTGGTGGTGGAACAACCACAAGAAGAAAGCCAGTTCAGGAATTGATCGATGCTGAGAAAAAGATGAGAACAGTCCTGAATGAGAAAGAGCAAGAAGTGCACATTCTGACTGAAATAGAGAACAAGAAAGTAGAAATAGAACGATTCAAGATAGAAATGACCAAATTAACCAACAAACCAATCAACCAGGAAATTCAGGGCAGATTAAATGAAATCAGGAAAATACGTGAAGAAATAGAGTCAATCAGAATGAAGAATGAAGAATGCAATCAACTGTTAAGAGAAATTACAATAGCAGAAAGGAGAAATGTAATAATTGAAAGAGAAATCAGCAAAATAGAAAAGGAATCAGCCACTTTACCTGATTTACAGAATATGATATCAAAACACCAGTGTGAGATATCAACAGAAATCAAACTGCAAAACAAGTTGACTAAAATCACAGAGTGCTACAACAACCTACAGAATGAATATCAATCCAAAATAGATCACAACAAACTGATCAATAGTGAAGTAGAAGAAATGATGAGAACTGTAATTGAAAATCAGGTCAAAAAGAGTGAATTGGTAAAGGAAATCAAACAACACGAGACTGAATCCGCCAAAATCAGCCTGAATATCGATCAGTTGAATTCCGAATTATCCAAATTGAATTCGATCATCAATGAACTGGAACAGCTTGAAAAATCCCCTGATTCCGAGAACAGCCGTCCTGATGGAATCCACATCTCTTTGAATCAAATCCAAAACAACATCACCAAATTCAAACTGATCAAGGCGGAATTCACCAAATTCACCAATGCCCTTGAATCAGACCGTCACAAACTGAATCACCTGAAATCCACTCTCCAATCCACCCGTGACACGCGTCTCACCAAATTCACAGCTGCTTTCGGTGCAATCAACCGCAGCATCAACGGCATCTTCAGCCGCCTCACTTTCGGAGGCTGTGCTGAATTGGACCTTGTGAACTTCCTTGATCCATTTTCAGATGGAATTCAACTGCAAATTATGCCACGAAAGAAGGCGTGGAAGAGCATCTCAAACCTGTCTGGTGGCGAGAAGACCCTCAGCTCCCTGAGTCTCGTCTTTGCCTTGCACCAGCACAGCCCATCTCCCTTCTACATCATGGATGAAATTGATGCTGCCTTAGACTACAAGAATGTCTCACTGATCAGCAGCTACCTTCAGGAAATCAGTGCCCAATTCATCGTAATCAGCCTCAGAAATGACATGTTTGAGGGAGCAGAGACACTTGTTGGTGTCTACAAGACCAATGAGCAGAGCAAGCTGGTCAAAATGGATATTTGATTTCAGCCAATTTGCTCAAATTTTACCCCAGAAATGTCAACAAAAGCAATTGCACCTAAAAAGATCGAAATGTACGAGAAGACGGTGCGGATGTTCAGAGACTACGACAAGTTCATGTTTCTGAACCTGCAGAAGGTGCTTTCCACGCAGTTCAAGAACATCAAGAACGAGTTTCCTGATGACGTGGAATTCCTGTTTGCCAAAAACAAAATCATGAGAAAGGCCCTCTCAGAGAACTTCACTGAGAAGAAATACGCCCAGATTGCTGATCAAATCAAGGAGAACGTGATCATTGCATTCTACAAGGAGGACTCCACTGCCACCCAAATGTACGAAACGTGCCAGAAATTCAGGCGAAATGCGTACGCCCGTTTTGGAGACAGGGCCATTGAGGACGTGATTGTTCCAACTGGTTCAACTGGCCTAGGCCCAGACCAAATCCAGCTCTTCCACGCTGCTCGAATGAACACGAAGATGGTGAAGGGGAAGATCGAGATTGCTGTTGCCCACAAACTTGTTGGAGAAGGAGAAGTTGTTGGAATATCTGAGGCCAATCTGCTTGCCAAGTTGAATATCATGCCATTCAACTACGGTCTATCCATTCTGAGGGTCTTTGAAGGAGACGAGTCCTTTGGCCGTGACGTCCTGGCTGTCTCTGACGAACAGATTGAGATGGCCATGGCTGACTCAATTGCAATGGTAGCCTGCGTCTCTCTTGGAACCGACACAGTCACCGATGCATCTGTGCCATACGAAATCATCGGTGCATCACAGGAGATCAAGAAGGTGGCAGCAGGTGTAGACTACGACGTGGCAGTGATATAGTGGTCATAAAAGTATAAGAATAATCAGGTTGCACCAATCATCATTTCTACCTCTTTCTTCCTCGTATCTCATCCAACTTCCTCCTCAACTCCTTATCCTCTCTTCCACCAAAGTATCCCTGGTAGAAGCAGTCCACGTCTCTCCCATTGCTCTGCGCCAGTGACTTCTCCAACAAGTACAGATCCACTGCCTTATCCTCATTCTTGTTGCTGTAGAATCCCAGTCCAAAATCAATGACATAAACTCTACCAGTCTCCCCCTGAACTATGAAATTCATCGTAGTCAAATCACCATGAATCACCCCACTTTCATGGAGTTGATATACCACTTCTCCCACTTCCCTCAGAATGGCACCATCCTCCCCCATCACCTCCTTCACACTCTCTCCCACAATCTTCTCCATTTCTATTTCGTAGTCTCCCCTTCCCACCACTCTTGGAACTGCTATCCCCAACTCACCCATCTTCTCCATCATCTTCGCCTCCTTCCTCGTCCTGTTCCTCCTAATTGCCTCATCCACCTCCACTATCCTGTACTCCTTCCTCACTCTCCTCTTTATCACAGTTGTCTCTGTCTCATAGATCTCTGCTTCTGCACCTCTTTTTATCAAATTGAACATGGGGTGGTATATAGGGTAGTTGTAATAATATAGGGTAGTATATTGTAATGATAATTAGGGTAATATTCATATAGGGTAGTATATTGTAATTAGGGTAATATTCATATAGGGCAATATTCATATTATATTATATTATACTGTATTATATTATAGTAGCTACCCTTCTGCTCACCCTACCCATCCTACCCCTCTATATCGTCGTCTATTACTCCACTGCTACCTGACATTGCCACTGTAAATGGTAGATTGATCCTCTGTGACTTGTCTATCTTTGCTGCACCAGTTGGTACGTGGTAGACGTGGTTAGTTGCGTGTATGACGTCATCCCATACCACATCAGCAAACCACGGATGCCTCTTCAACTCGTCTGGCCCACCCTGCCCCAGTCTCATCATTGGATCCTTCTCAAGCAGCCTGGTCACGAAGTCACGTGCCTCAGGCGACATCTCTGCCTCGATCTTCACCTCGTGCTCACAGACGCACTTCGCCAGCTTCCTCATCGTCGGTGCTGCAAATGGCGGTCTCCTGTGAAACATCTCGTAGACCACCACTCCCAGTGCCCAGTAGTCGACGTCCCTCCTGTACCCCGTCTGCCTGAACAACTCAGGTGCCATCGTATCAGGGGTGCCACAGAATGTGAATGCAGTTGAATCAGCGTCCATCTCAGTCCGAGCCAGACCAAAGTCGCACAACTTGATGTGCCCCGTCTTATCCAGCAAAATGTTGTCCAATTTGAGGTCTCTGTAGGCAATTCGATTCTGGTGGAGAACACAGAGGCCAATGACGATCTCACTGGCGTACTGCCTGATCTGCCTCTCTGGAACACGGCTGTTTCTCATGAAGTAGGTGAGGAGGTCGCCACCGCAGCAGAATTCGAGGCCGAAGAAGATGCGAGATGCGTCCTGGTAGAAGAAGAGCAGTTTGTTGAGAAGGGGCGACTTGAAGGCGCCAACTGCGTCGAGGACGCGCTTCTCTGTCTCGACGCGCTTCTCGTCGAAGCACCCGGCCAGCGACTCCTTGTGCATGATTTTGAAGGCGACCTCTGTCTCTGTCTCCTTGTGGACGGCAAAGACGACCTTTGAGAAGGCGCCTTCTCCAACGAGTTTGATGAGGCTGAATTCGTCGATGCTCTTCACGTTCATCAGGTGGTCGCTGAGGAAGCGAGACGGATTCAGGAACGAGCTGAGCTGTGCTCGCAGCTCGCTGGTGATGCCGCAGGAGCGGAAGAGGAAGTCGCGGCAGTCGACGTGGAACTCGTAGCCGCAGGAGACGCATCGGAGCATCCTCGACGGCGCCTCGATGGCCCTGCCGCAGTGGTGGCAGAACTGGGCTGCCCTGGCCGCGAACTTGGTCGCCAGGTCGTGGGGGATGTTGAAGTTGGCGACGCAGGCAGTCGGCCGCGGTGGCGACCTGGTGGATGCGCGGCAGAAGAAGAAGAGGAAGTTGATGCATCGGCTGTGGACGGTGACGTGGCAGGCGGCGCAGCAGAAGGCGGCGCCGAAGAGGGCGATGGAGTCGACGCAGACGTTGCACCGCGTCGGCTCCATCAGCCGCCTTCGCTCGAGGACGTGGCCTCGTCTCGCAAGGCAGAGAATCCGCGCGTCCTTGCGGCAGATCCCCTCCTGCGACCGCAGTCCAATTCGCATTGCGACGTAGTTGAATCCCTGGAAGTCGAGTTCGTGCAGCTCGGATTCACCAGCAAAGTGCTCGCAGGGCACCTCCACAATTCCAAGGCGCCTCTTCTCCTCCTTCTCGTCCACCAGAACGAACTCGACGAAGCTGCTTTCGTCAAGGGCTATTTCAGTCGGAAGGGGACGAGAGAGCAGAATGCGGCCGCGGCTCTTTCGGTCGACGTTGATTTCAATTTGGGTCGCAGTCACGCACGGATCCAGGTCGGACGAGACGAACTCGACGAGGAGTGTCCCACTCGCACTCTCGTGCTCGGCTCGGTAGCACCGGAACTCGCTCTTCAGCAGCCGCCTCAGAAGCAGAATCTTCGATGACGCGTATCGGCGCATTGGTTCGATTGCATCGCTGATGGCATCGTCCACGACGGTGATCTTCCCGAAACTCATCAGAATCTCCTCCTCCTTCGCGATGATGCTTTGGACGTCTGCTCGTGTCATCACGTCCTGGGTCGCAAGGAGTTTGGCTGGTCGAGGCGACTCGAGCTTCTCAACGCGTCGCTCGAGCGATGCTCGCACGTCGCCAGTCGCCTTCTGAAGGGTCTCCTTCAGTTTCGCTACCAATTTGGCTGTTTTACCGCTCTTGTTGTTCACATTGTTCATTTTGGTCATTTTGTTGATTTTGGTCATTCTGTTGATTTCAAACAAAACAAACTGTTTAAGTGATTGTTTAGTTAGTTAGGGTGGTGGTGAGGGTGGTAGACTTACTACTGTTATTATCTTACTACTGTTAGACTTACTCTATTAGACTTACTACTGTTAGACTACTCTTATGACAATAATTAGTAGGGTCTGCTTCTACTACCCTATCCTATCCTACCCTTCTCTTTATCAATATTAACCACTCTTTTGACTACCCCTGTTGATGCTCTTTGCAAGTGACTCCAGCACGTCTCTCTCACCAATAGCAGTCAGTCTCCTTCTTTCAGCCTGGTAGTACTCCTGTTTCATGTATTTATGCTCCATGAACTTCTTCAACTTCCTTACACTCGATCCACTACTGGGATTGAACCTACCAAACTGCCCCAGGAGACTCTCGTAGTCTCGCTCAAACTCACCGTAGAGATCCATTCCGTCCTGTAATCGCCTACTGCTCTCCAGCAGACACAGCTGGCTGCCTCTCCTGTTTTCGAGTTTGATGAGCTCAACTCTTCCTTCGTGATAAATTCTTCTTCTTTTTTCAAGATTCTCCTTCAGAATCACCAGCTCAACCATCTTCTCCTCCAAGTCAACGTCAACCACCTTGTCGCTTCTCCTTCTTTCCCACCTGAATCCAGCTGGAAAGACCAGCACATTCCTCAACACGAAGTTACTGAAGAGAAAGAGGTTTCTACGAAACATCTCGTGCATCTTTGGTTTGAGGTGGGCGTACTGGCCATCCAATGACTCAATGAGGATCTTCTCTAACTCATCCTGGAGTTCAATCGTAAATGAAACAGGCAGGAATCCAAAGTACTCAACTTCATCTGGTAAAATGTTACTAGGCATTTAGGGGGTTTATAAGGGTGGTTATTATAATTACTAGCAATGATGATTAGCTAGCAACTAACTGTTGTCACTAATTATTGCTATTAACCCTTTGGCTTCCCACACATATCACACTGTGTAACATAGGCCTCGTTGATGAATGTGCATGTGGAACACTCCCATTTCACCTGCCTGTGCTTCTCAAGCTGCGCAATGGTAACAAGAAACTCATCAGTTCCAAGAATGGCATGGAACTGATCATTGTTGCCCTGGGCAACTGCCTGGAATATTCTGCTTGTTTTCTTGTAGAACTTGCTCAGACTCAGCAGAACAAACAGGTTCCTGTACTTCTCCATGTTGTGGTAGTCTCCATCAAAGTAGCCTGATAACTTGTCAAGTGAAATCAGAATGCGATCAAGTGTTCTATTTCCAAAGAGGGGACTCTTGTTGGAGTAGCCAACTTCACAGGTCACAAAGAAGTATTCGACTGGGACGTACGGGTCTGCCTTGGTTGATACATCCGTATTGTACTCATTTCTGTACATGTAGAGCAGCTCTCGTTTCGATACATTCACAAAGGTGGTTGGATCTGTCGAGAGACCAACCAGTTTGGCGTCCATCACGGCGTGGAACTGCTTCGTGGGAAGGAAGCAGCTCATTTCGATCTGCTTCTCCCTGTCGGACGAGACCGAGACAAAGACGAGGTCGTCCCTGACTCCGCCTTTGCCTGAAATTGTTCGTGCCATTTTGTGGAAGAAATCCAGCTCAAATGCACTCAAAATGACGTTGTTCTCGATCTTGTAGCTGTGCTGGACACCCTCCTTGAGAAACAAGTCCGTGTAAATCAGCCCCAGAACAGCCAGCCCATCGTGGCCATCCATCAGCCCCAGTTCCTCGTATTTTTCCAGGCTGAATCCATCAGGGTAGTTTGCCTGTTCTGGGACATAAATTAGCGAAACAACCCCCCTTTGTTTTCCGTCTACGGCCTTGTACTTCCCAATCAGGAGACCAAGTTGCTGGCGACCTGAGTTCTTCCACGCGTTTACGAACGTCTCGACGTAGAAGGAGGTGTCAAACTCAACGTAGTCGACGCTCCTGTGGATCTGTGGAATCAGCGTGATTGCCTTGTCCATGCATTTCATGCAAACGACATTCACACCGTGGTCACCGCAAATCTGCTTCCTGTAGTCGTAGTCTGGCTCAGTCACGCCCTTGGCCTTGAGCATCTCCAAATAGGTCGCCTTGCTGAGATACTTCTCCCTCTTCTTCTTCTCCTCCTCTTCGTTCTGGATCTCCTCTACGGCACAGTTCAGGCACCTCTTCTCTTTCGGGTGGTTGCACAGGTTCGCCTTCACCTCGGTCTTCTCAATCTTCTCACTCACCACGTACAGTCTCATTCCCTGCACCAGTGGCTCACTGATTCCCATTTCATTCTTTCTCTCTTTGTCCTTGAATATTCGGCAATGAGTTATCTTCAACTCATTTTTGATTTTATCGATCAGACTCCCAGGATCAGTCGCCTGAAGTGGCAGTCTTCCCCATGGGCCGTAAACAAACACCTTCACCATTTGGGGTAAAAAAGAGTTATCGAATGTTTACGGCTGTTTCTTGATGTTGATTTGGTTGCTGTTTTGGACACTGATGAAACTGATGTTCACCAAGGCAGTTCCATTTGACACCCTCTGGGCTATCTTGGTCTGCTCTTCTGTGAGTTCAATCCTCAGGTTGGATAGTTTTTTGCTAATTTCACTAATGCTGAGGATGGCTGCATCTATTGCTCCCACCATTCTGTCGTACTCGATGGAGGTGTAGTATTCCACCATCAGAGCACGCTTCACGAGCCTATGCTCCTCCCTCTCGGCCGCCTCCAGCGCCCTCTTCAACTCAGCATTTTCCTTAGCCAACTTCCTGTTTCTATCCATGTTTATGGCCTGGTATTTTATTTCAACCACTGTCCTGGCTACTGTTGTGCAAGTAGAAGGAGGCTGAATCAGTCGTATCCACTCCAACCATCTCGAGATCATCGGATGACTCTCCATCGCAGTATGCGGTTACAGTCACCTTGAACTCCTTGCATTTTGTCATTGTTGGACTTCCAATCTGCCTCAGAATCCCAGATGCCACTTCTATGTTCGTCAGTGTCGTCACAACGTGTCTCCTCACTGAGAATATCGCTGCTTCCTGCTCACGCTGACACATTCTCATCATCGCACTCTGCAGTCTTCGTGGAATCCTCTCTCCACCTACGACGTACTCCACGACCGTAACAGTCTCTGGCATTCCCTCTCTTCTGGTTATCCTGTACTCGTTGTACTCCTTGTTGGCTGTTATTGGCTTTCCATCTGCTCCGAAATCAACCAGAACCAACACGTGCTCCCTCACCAGTGTCACCCTCACCAGTGTCACCCTCACCAGTGTCACCCTCA